GTGGATGCTTTGCTTTTCAGCAGATTCTCTCCATCTTGTCCGTTAGCAAGAAGGTACACTATGGACAGGAAAAGCTAGAGAGCAGGCCTTTTGTCAAACATTAAATTCAGACATGTAAAGGACTAGGGAGGGTGGCAGGATAAGCTAAGCAGTCCAGGCTGTGTGGGTTGTGACCCTGGGCTCTGACTGTATGAGAAACAACCCTGGTCACAAGGTTTCAAAACAGAGAGGGAGAGTGTGTGTACGTACCCATATGCATACTTGCGTGTACCTCTGTTGGAGTTGTGCCACAAAGTGACATTTAATAATGAAACATGACAGTGCTCTTAGGAGTAGGGATGTGGGAGAATGGGTTTAGCAAACTCAGCAGGTCTTGATGGCCAGTATAGTGTACAAGAGTCCCAGGATCCTTCCTGCTTGATAAGATAAGCTTTTATCTGTCACAGTAGTTAGCATCACTGGCCTGCCAGATTGCCTTTGTCATTCTAGGTAGTAATATGTTCCAGAGAAGCTTTAGATGCCTTCACCTTAAAACAGAATAGCAGGTCTTGGTGGCTGTGGTACTGCATACACCTACAAGATCAGCTCTTGTAAAGTGGAGAAGGATGTTTAGGACTTCAAGGTCACCTTCCTGGGCTACATGAGACTCTTTCTCAAAAAACCTAAACAATCAGGAAGATTAAATATATCCTGACTATCCCTAATAAAGAAAAATCTAGAATGCATTTGAAACTTAGTGGAAAATTCCAGGCCTGACCATATGTGACAGGTTATAGTTAAACCTTGTTGTGCATGTAGTACTTTTAAATGTATTATATTTCCTACGGGCTAGTTGATAAGGGCATATTTATTTTAAACATACATGAATTTCATGTCTAGATTTCATGTCCACAAGATGTTCCATTCATATAATAACCACAATTGTTTCAGATAATGTGTGAAAACTGTGGGAGATGTGTAAAATTAAGTTTCCCTTGTTGGAAGTTCATTTCACAATGTGTTTATAGAAAAGCAAAGAAGAACTAGAGAAGCAAGAATGAACATTTCTAATGGTTAGTGGATGATCAGCAAGAGCAAGAATGAACATTTCTAATGGTTAGTGGATGATCAGCAAGACCCCGGAGTGCGATTGCTGGGTTGTGGTGTCCATCCCAGCTCTTAAATAGGAAACTTACACAGTTCAGCTGAGGGTTGTGGGCTTTATAGACACTGTGCTTTGAGAGACAGTTATTACAGAAGTCTAAGTGGGAGACTATGATGGCTTCGTGGGTAAAAGCAAGGAACTGAGTTTGTATCCCCAGAGCCCATATTTAAAAAAAAAAAAAAAAAAAAAAAAAAAAAGTCAAACCAGGTTTTGCAGCTAGAGTAGAGCAGACATAGGAGAAGTATCTGGCTTCCTGTGAAGCTAACCTTTAGATGAGAAATGCTGAGCTGAGCTTAGGGTTAATGAGAGACCCTGTCTCAAGGCAGTAAAAGGAGATTGTGCTAGTGCAATACGAAAATGTCCTTCTTTGGCCTCTAAATGCAAACACTTGAATCATGTAGCACTCAGAGAAATCCAGACAGTTGGAATGCTACTCTTGTTTCCCAAGTAAGTCAGAATATTTTAAGATTTAGAAATAAATGTAAAAAAGTTTAATAGATTAAACCATACGGTTTCTATTTTGGTTTAAAAGATTTCTATGTATTTGCTATTTTAAATAATTGTTTAAAATAATTTGATCCAGGTAATGGATTAGCCTGTACTTCCAAATTAAACCATATATTACAGTAATTGAGATAGACAGAGAGGGTTGAAATCACAGTTTACAAGCCATATTAGGACATTGCTTGCAAGAGAATTACTCAGGCTTTTATGCATTGTCTTGCACAAAACAGGCTGTTTTAATATGTAAAAGACAGAAATAATTCTGAAGCAGGGCATGAAAGAAAAAAACCCAGGCCTTATAAAGTGGTTTTGTTAGCTGGGTGTAGTGGTTTATCCCAACAGTGAGGAGGCAGAAGCAGGGGGATCTCTTTTGCATTCCAGGACAGCCAAGGGATACATAGAGAAATACCTTGTCTCTAAAATCAAAGCCCCCCCCCAAAAAAAAAGAAGTTCTTGTTCATTTCTGGATACAACAGCAAGAAAAGCTCTTTTCTTATTTTAATGCAAGTTCTCTGTGTAAGCAGGCTGGTATCCCACATGCCCTCCTTAAACTAAGCAATTACTGAAATGACCAGAGGGGCGTGCTCAGTACAGTAAGGGCCTATTGTAGAGGAAGTGGCCTTTAGAATCACTTTCCAGCATGATTAAAGCGCAGTGCCATTTGCATTGGCTCTGGGATCTTGGGTGATTGTGGCTGTCCTAAATAGAGATCTTTGCTCCTTCAACCTGATGCTATGAGAAATCGAAAATCGTTAATGTCAGTTTCATGTCACATCTCTGAACCACAGAAAATAAGCAAGTTTGGGTCAGGAGCCTCTTTTGTGCCACCTGGATGAGGTCCAGGTGAAATTGCATGTTGCACAGAGTCCTGGCCACTCGAACAGCCCTGAATGGCTGCCCAGAGAGGGCCCTGGGCTGGAGGGTGCTTGGCTGATCTATGCTTTGAATTCCATCATTTTTAATGTTTTGAATCCTTGTCTCTATGCTTTGAATTTTATCATTTTCAATGTTTCGAATCTTTGTCTCTATGCTTTGAATTTTATCATTTTTAATGTTTTGAATCCTTGTCTCTATGCTTTGAATTCTATCATTTTCAATGTTTCGAATCTTTGTTACTAAGTCTCCCATGGTTGTTATTCACTGTTTTGTATATAGTTTTGTATTAAGCCTAAATCTTTTCTTTAGACTAAAAGGGGAATTGTAGTGAGGTAGTCCTTCTGTAGCACTGACCACGCCCATTGGGGGGTGGAGCGATGGGCGGAGGTGACCTGAGGAAGGAGGTCGGAGGGGGCCAGGAAGGCGCTCTCTTTCTGGCGTGACTCGGACAGGAGAGGATCGGGTTGAATTTCCTGGTGTTCATCTGTCTAGGTTGTAAGTTATTTCTCCCTGAATAAACATCTATTCGGCCTATTTGTTTATCCTGACCCTTATTTACCGCAATACTCATCCACCAGCTGGAGTCTGTGTCCTTAAGGCTACACAACCTTCCCAGACAGTGCCAGCATTTGGGGACCAAGTATTCAAGCACAAGAGCCTTTGGGGGACATTTCACATTCAAACCAAAGCACCGTTTTCTCATCCCTCTGTGTTCAGCAAGGTCCTTGGTACCCAGGACAGTTTGGATAAGAAGATAATTCTTGAGCTCTTCTGGCGTACCTTGTATCTGGAAAATCAGACACAGAATACAAGCTATGTTGACAGTGTCATGTTAGGGTTAAGGTTAGCTTCCAGCATGCCATGTTAATATGTGCCTTGAAAGTGCTGCAGGGGCCAGGTGGTGATGGCAAACACCTTTAGTCCAACACTTGGAGGCAGAGACAGGAGGATCTAGGTGAGTTTGAAGCCATCCTGGTGTATAGATCAATGACAGCCAAGGCTACAAAGAAAAACTCTGTCTCAACAAAACAAAACAAAAAGATTTTAAAAAGATGCAAGATCTAGCTCAGCAGGGCTAGGAAGCTTATGCCTGATTTATTGGTCTTGCCAAAGGAGTGGATTTTTAAAGGCCACGAAATTCTGAAGCTGGAACAGGTTGAAGTGAGTCACTGGACCACTCTCAGAAGGGTCCATGTTTTCATTCTCAGAGCATTGTTCTTCCACATTATACTGTCTAAAAATTTCAGTTTTCTGACAACATAAGAAGGAAGTTTGGGTGTTTTTTCCTTACCTCAGGGCTATGAAGCTTGGAGAAGGTTGAATCACTCCCCCCTCTATATAGGCATGAGAATAGTTAGCTGCTTGTGCAAAGACCACATTTTGGGGTTTTCTGCTTCCATTCTGTTGAGTTTCTCTTCATTGCTCTACTTGACAGTCATAAGAGGCTCACTCTCCTGTGTCTATAAAAGAGGTGACCACGGGGAGAAGCTTGGGTGAGGAAGAATGACATTGAGAAATAATAAAGACTAAAACAGAACTGAGCTCATTTTCTTCGTGTGTGTGTGTGTGTGTGTGTGTGTGTGTGTGTGTGTGTGTACACCTGACTGTCCTGAAATTTTCTTTCTCTGTACATAAGGTTGGCTTCAGAGATTCTCCTGCCTCTGCCTCATACATGCTGGGATTTAAGGTGTGCACCACCATGTCCATCTATACTGGCATTTCCTTAAAAGATACATTTCAATTGTTGGTGGCTGGGCAAAATGGAAAGTTAAATGATATTTATCTTAATTTCCCTTAGTAAACATTTTTCTCAGTGTGCTGTTTTTCTGTTAGGCATTAACTGGAAAAGCTCCAACTTTGCAATTATGAGTTGCAACACCATACCTGGTTTATATGGTCTAGGGAGGTAGCCCAGGGCTTGGCAAGCACTCCACCAGCCACCCCTTAATTCAAAATTCTGTTTTTCTTTAGGATTTATTTTTATTTGATATATGTGAGTATTCTGCCTGCATGCACTTATTGACATGCACTGTATTCGAGCAGTGTCCATGAAGACCAGAAGAGGGCGTCAGATCCCTTGGGACTGGGGTTCCAGATGATTGTAAACTACCATGTGAGTTCCCTAGAAAGGGAACCTGTGCAAGAGCAGCCACTGCCTTAACCATTGAGCCATCTCTCCAGCTTCTCTGATTTAAAATTCTTGAATCATTCTTGGGCAGTGCTTCTCAACCAGTGGGTCTCTAGCACTTTGGGGTTACATGTCAGATATACTACATATTAGATATTTACATTATGATTCATAACAGTAGCAAAATTATAGTTACAAAGTAGCAACAAAATTATTTTATAGTTAGTCACAACATGAGGAACAATACTAAAGGGCTGCAGCATTAGGAAGGTTGAGAACCACTGTTTTAAGGGTTTTGTTTACTTATCCTTAAGTAGTCTCCTTATTATAAATTCTTCTTTCTTGCAGGTAGAAATGAATTGATAGCCAGATACATCAAACTCAGGACAGGGAAGACAAGGACCAGGAAGCAGGTACAGTACCCGCCTGCAAGGTTTGCATGTCAGCGAATGGCCCGGAGATGTTGGGCTGCCTTGGCTGCTGTGCTTCAGCTCTAGGAGCCCTAGGCCCAGTGCCCTGTAAGGAGTTCGCCCTGTAGGTGTGCTGTGGCTTTTTCCACTCTTACCACTTCTGTGGCCCTAGCACGCACTAGTGTGCTATCATACACACACTGCCAAACCAGTGTCTGAACCTCTCCTTGCTCAGGTGTTTTCAATCCTGCCATCTTGTTTCCACCTCCCTAACATCTGCCAGAGTTGCAGAAGGCTGCAGGTGCACTTACCCTGGCAAGCCAAGACACTTGGAGGTTCTGTGCATTTTAACATCCCGAAACGATTACATAATTGTCATGCTTTCAATGAAGTCACACCAGTGGCCTTTGGCAATGGCCTAAATACGATACTGAGCGATACACTTCCAGGGCACTGTGGCTTCTTTAGCAATGGCCTTTTGTCAGCCTCTGCTGCTGTAACTATAAAGCAGTTACAATCTTTAGATGCTGCAGAACAGGATTGGATATTCTCTTCTGACTCTGGCCAGGGCTCTACGGTCCCTGGTTCTTTTGGACACAAAGCAGCCCATATTTCTGATGTGATCAAGTTCACAATTGGAATGGGTGGGAGAGCAGTCTCTAAAATCAGAAAAAAGAAAACAAAATGACCCATGTAATGGATGGGTCATTGATGGAAAACTTTCTTTCTTTTTCTTTTTTTTTTTTTTTAATTGTTAACCTATGTGGAATGACACAGCACAGAGTTCAGCAGCTGCAGCTAACCAGATGTGGTAGCATATACCTCTAATCTCAGCTACTTGGGAGCCTGAGGCTTCAGGATCTTTTGAACACAGGAGTTCAAGACTGCTCGGGCAGCATTGTGAGAGACCTCATTTCAAAATAATTAAAGGGGGTGAGGGGATAGCTGAGGCCTGAATGCAGCCAACTCACCCGTGTCTCTTTAAGGCTGAGCAGCAGTAGCCCTGTCCCCCCCTTTCCCCAGATCCCCTTTCTGGAGTGTGGATCAGGGGGCTGGGCTGTCCCCCAGAAATGCTGCCTGTGCTGGCTCTGTGCTGAGTCAGCAGAAATGGGTGGCCTCCTGCCAGCACAGAGGCAGGCAGACCCTGTCTGCTGGGGATGCACCCAGCCATGGTCCTCATTGAGTCAGGGCCTCAGACAAGAGTCTGGGTGAAAATGAGTGTCAGCTGGAGCCAGATGGAGGGCTGAAGAGGATGGGGAGCCCTGCTTCTCTGCAAATGGGAAGAAAGCGAATTATTGAAACTCAAAAAACAGCTTTAACCACCAAAAGATCCTTGCTAATGCTGAGTCCTGTTGTCAGAGTCACTGGAGAGTTTGAAATGAGGTAACTGCCAGAGAACCCAGGCCTTAGAACTTATAATGGGAAGGTTCAGAATCTCCCAGTGCAGACAGCAGTGATGAGCTGGCTTTTGGCCAGTGAGTTCTGCTCACTTGTCTGCTGACCCCTTCACTTGGGGCTTTTTAAAGTTTAATCAAGTCCCACTGAAATAGATGCTGGTGTGCCTGCCCAGTGTGTGTCAGAGGCCTACCTGGCTGGGTTTCCACACCCAGCACCATCCTCAGGGTGCCTGTAGGCCCGATTTGGCCACACCTCTCCAGTGTGTTGTTCAGCAAAGCAGAGTGGTTTTTCAACCCAGATTTTTAACTGGCTGGCTGGCCTGGCTGTATTCACACATTTCGTTTTGTAATAATATGCAGATCCACTTGGCACCCAGTTGATTCCCAAAAGAGTAGAAGGATTAAAGAAATTTTAAGGAAGGGGGAAAAAAGAGCTCTGCTAACTGGGTCCCATTTGTCTCGGAGATCTAATTTATGTGTCAGGGTTATTTCAGCAATTGCCACAGCATCTACAGTCCTCCAGGAGATCAGAACACCCCTCCCAGCCTCAGCTGTGATTGTGTAGGACAGGCCAATTTACGGACAGTCCTCTCTAAATTGAGAAAGGGGGATTTTACCTCCCCATACCAAGGCGTAAATATTTTCATATATACCTCTACTCCCGCCTTTTTAATTTCATAAAAAAAAAAAAAAACACTCCTCCCCTCCCCACTAATGGCTCTCCAAATGAGGTTTACCTGGACACTCACCTGTGATCTCTTCAGGTGGGAACAAGGGAAGTGAGCCTGCCCAAGTCACTGCATTGAGGACCCTATGGTTTGTAAAGCTTAAGATCAGTGCTGGGGGCTTGGTGTCTGGCTGGGACTGTATGTTCCTAACTGCAGAGCTTCATTGAGATGCAAATAACCTTCCCCCACCCCGCCCCTCCCAAGGAATAGCTATTTTATATTTGATTTCCTTTTTTTTGTTTGTTTTTTTTTTGTTTTTGTTTTTTCTTGTTTTGTTCCCCCCCCCCCCCCGCATAAACCCGAAAAATGTAGGTGTCTAGTCATATACAGGTCTTAGCAAGAAAGAAAGTTCGAGAAATTCAAGCCGCCATTAAGGTACGTCTGGCTTGCCCAGTTGTAGGGGGCTTTTCATCTCCATGGTTACAGGCTTTTCCTTTGTTTTCCTCCCTTCCCCTACCCTGCAGGTGTCTAGTCACATTCAGGTTCTTGCCAGAAGGAAATCTCGTGATTTTCATTCCAAGCTAAAGGTATGCGCTTTTCTGCTTTTTGGCTCGTGGTTGCTATGCACCTCACTTCCTGTTTTCCATGGTGACTGGTGAATGCCTGGTGCCGGGATTCTTGTAACCTAGCTTCCTAGCATGTGAGGGCTGTTTACATTTCTTTGTGTCTAATCTCTCTGTTTCTGGATTGGCCTCACATTAAACTCCCTGTGTGTGTGAGCGTGTGCGTGTTCCCAGTAACAACGCAATCGCAGCAGAGAGCTGGTCTTGATAACTTCAGCACAGAAACGTGATTAAAAAAACAAAATAAAAATATGCTAATAACCTCCCTGTGGCACTGGGCTATCAATCTGTACCTAGAGAAACAGTTTAAAAAAAAAGGAAAAAGAAAGGGAAAGAAAAAAGAAATCATCTCAAGTTGTGAAATGACTCTATGACACACATTTAGAAATGATTCTAGTTTGGGTTTTTAATGTATTTAAAAAAAAAAAAATACTTACTGTGCTGGAGAGGATGGCTCAGTGGTTAAGAGCACCGGCTGCTCCTCCAGAGAACACAGGTTCAGTTTCCAGCATGTTGGTGGCCAGCTCACAACCGTCTGCAACTCCAGTTCCAGGGGATCTGATGCCATTTTCTGGCCTCATCCACAAAACACACATATACATAAATAACATAAATAACATAAATAATAGTAATCTTAAGGAAATACATTTTCACCTTCACAGATTTTCATCAGCTGTCTTCCACATTGTCTGACATGCTGTGTTTTTTTTTTCTTTTTAAATAGGTCTTTGTAGTAGAGAAGTCTCAACCAGGCATGGTAGCTTATACTGGTGACCCGAATACATAAGAGGCAGAAGCGGGGAGGATTGCTACAAATTCGTAATGGAATACCATCTCAAAAATACAGAAAAGGGATAGAGAGATAAAGAGATCTACCAGTATGGGTCTTGGAGATAACTAAATTCTCAAACTGGTGTGCAGGTTTATGTAGAGCTTTTTCATATGTGCCTCATTTATAACCAAGTACCTTTCACATTCATAAATAAAACTAAGACATTGATAATTTTTTAATTTCTAGTTTCTTTTCCTGCTCTGGAGATTATAGTAAAGCGTGCACGACCTTTATGTCTTTGCGATGCACTCATCCACGGCTTCTGGGAAGGTCTTTAGTTCACAGTAAAAATTAATTTAGGACCATATTGTTGCTATTCTCACACAGCTCCCCTCCCCCAACTCACTCATTACTTTTGTGGTTTTCTTCCACACCAAAACAGTGTTGAACACTGGGACCCCTTCCCCAAAGCCACCAACTTTAAAAAAGCAAACCTTGCCGACTGGCACAGAACTAGGGTAGGAAGGAACGTAGGCTGTGCGCTCTGCAGTGGGCAGCATGCTTGCTCGCTCGCACGTGTGGCTGACGGTGGCTGGCTTTGAGCTGCACTGGCTGAGCAGTTGGAAGGCTAAAGGAACTTTCTAGACCCTGCTTTTTAACCAAAGGTGCTATACTCTCTATGTGGATGTGCTTGCTCAAGTTCTCACTCTGATTCTAGTTTCTCTAGGCTGATGAATTAATGATGTACAAAGAAGTTTATAGATACCAATTTTGTATTTCCATCTGTGATGTGACAAACTATTTCTTCACTATGTGTGTGTTCCCTGGAGGATTATAGGGTGGGGGTGGCCTTGGGGCGGGGGCTGGATGGAAACCTCAGAAGGTGATTAAAACCTGTCTGCCTCAGAAGGGATCCCCTTAAGGTATGAGAAATCACTTGGAGGCTTTTCAACTTTCTGCATACACCTGTATTCAGACAGACATGTGTGTGTGTGTATTATATTTGTTCCTAAACAATAAAAAAGAGTGCTTCCTCCCCACTTTCAGCATGCCCTTGGAGGTACATAGGAGGTAGGCTTAGCTTTTGACCCTGAGAAGTGCTGCTGCCTTCTTGTGGCCTTTTTCATTCTTTTCGAAATAGAGTCCTTGAAGGGTAGTGGTGTAGCACGCCTTTAATCCCAACACCAGAGGCAGATAGATCTCTTTTCCAACACAGCCAGTGCTATACAGAGAAACCCTTTCTCAAAAAACAAACAAAACAAAACAAAACAAAAAAAACAAATAAACATAAAAGAAGAAAGAAAAAAATGGAGTCCTCTGTGTCTGTCTATCTACATCAGCTAATTTCTACCAAATGTTCCAGGCTTGGCACTGATAGGTGGATGCTTGGTAGCCAACTCCCTGTCCCAGAACTAGCCATGTAAATGGGACTCAGATACAGGGCACTATTGGCTCATAGTAGAAAGGGCTGCCCTTTGATGTGGAGGGACCATCATGACCATGTGCCTGAGGAATGCCCTTCAGTCTCTGGGCTTTCAAGGACAGATGTTTAAGCCCACAAGTTACCTGTACATTATTCTGATAGCAAGAAAAAAAATTGGCAAGAAATTACAGTTCAATGGGTTAGGTCCCTAATTGACTTGACAGAAGCTACCCAGACTCACAAGAAAGTATTTGAACCTAGTTCTTTCAGAATCCTAAACTAGCAGAAGTCTTCATGCCAGCACAGTATAGAGGAGTGGAGCCAGATACACAGCCCTTCTACTAAGTGCCTTCATTGTACAATGAAACTGATATATGGAGGTCATTTGGAGTAGACACTGGTGGTCACCAGTGACTTAGTGATTGTGGTACCTTGTCATCACTGGAAGGGCTTTGGGACAATCAAGGAGAAAAAAGGCTGGCTGTTGGTATAGCTGCTTATCCCATGGACATTTTAATCTGATGTTGCTTCACTAGCCATCAGCAGAACATGGGTCTTGCAAGGGAGGAGGTGATCTCTGAGTCCTGTCTCAGCTCTCTCTGCTGGGCTCTGGTGTCTTGCAGCACACTGGAAAGACACAGCAATGGGTATCTTCACTGAGTTCGCCACAGAGACAGGCTGATTGTCCTAGTTGAACTCCCACATTAAATGATGAGATAAGCTCACTAAGTAATTTGAAATCATATTGAAAATAACACAAATAGCTTCCAGGTATGCAGTGGGGGTGGCAGGAATTGGCCAAGATTACATGAGATACTGTGTTTTCCTTGAGAGAGATGTAGGAAGCTTTTGTTGGAGAAGATGGCAGATGACTTGGCTACCACTGGTCTATTCTCATTGGCAATGCATATGCCCAGATATCAAAGTGGGCTGTGTGTTTGGAGTAGGTGGGTGAAGGAGGGGTGGTGTCTGTACACCTCCTGTGAATACTAAAACCAGGGTCTCATTTCCTTGTCTTCCCACAGAGATGACAAAATCTGGCATTATATGTCTAGGTCTTTGATGGGTACACTTTCCAATGAGCCTACTTGCTTTAAGTGTGTGTGTGTGTGTGTGTGTGTGTGTGCAGGGAGATCAGAGAACAACTTTTTGGTGTCTTTTTTTTTTTTCTCCTTCTAGCATATGGGTCTCTTGTCAGACAGTCACCTTTACCCCCTGAGCCATCTCTCCATCCCAAGTCTAATTGTTTCTCCTTTATTAAAACAGGGTGTGAGGGAATTCTTTAGACTACTGGTTTTCTAGTAGCCTTCTTGTTTGCTGTGGTAAAGCTCTGTGACAAAAGCAGCTCTTGGGTCACACTCCATCACTCATAAAACTCAGGCCAGGGACCAGGAGGCAAGACTTAAAGGAGAACGGGAGGAACACCACTTACTGGCTTGTTCAGCCTGTTTTCTTATATAACCCAGGACCACCTGCCCAGGGGTGGCCCCACTTCTAGTAGGCTTGGCCCTCCCACATCCCTATCAATTATTAATCAAGAAAATACCCCTAAAGTTGCTATGAGGCAATCTGATGGAGGCATTTTCTCAATGGAGGTCCCTCTTTCCTAATCACTCTAGCTTGTGACAAGTTGACAGGGCACCTCTCCTTTTATATTTGTGGTGTGTATGGGGGGTGGTAGATGTGTTGACATTGGATGTTTTCCTCAATCTTTCGCCACCTTATATTGAGCCAGAGCTCCAGAGCTCACTGACTAGGCTGCTCTAGCCATCCAGCTTGCTCCAGGATCCCTTGTTTCTGACTGTGTCGGGATTACAGAAAAGGCTATGATCTCCACAACCCCCCCCCCCATTTATATTGATGCTGGGGAATTCAGACTCACTCAGATGCTAGCCCATAGTCATCTTCCCAGCCCATAAAAATCAGCAAAACTTATATTTTAAGTTGGAAATCTTACTGAAACCGTGAAACTATAACATGAAATATGAAGGTGACTTTGACACCCACTGTCTCAGATCCTTAGCATTACATTGTCCTTTGGTTGCTCCATGGAATACAGTTTGAGAAATCACCGTCCCTACCTCAGGCAGAAGGCCAAGGAGTCCTCTAACCTAGGTGGGAGATATTGTTTCATCCTTAGGGTCCCACTTGCAGTGTGTGTTCCTGGCTCCTGTTTCTCTGAGCAAAAAAAAAAAAAAAAAAAAAAAAAAAAGACGACTCACAGAGGTGACAGAACTCTGTTATAGCATTCTCAACGGAAGTTCCAGCTGCAGTCACTCCGCTGAAAATCTGTTAGCATAAATTCTAAAGGTCAGCTGTTTTGCTGCTGACTGGTTCTCAGAGTGACTATAGGCTCTGTCTGTTTCCATCTTAGCACACAGGAAAAGGTCCTGTTGAACTTTAAAAACAAGGGAGTGATTGCTTCATTCAGCCTCTGGGGTTTCTTCATCCCTGGTGCATTATAGGCCTTGACTTGGTAGAGCTGGTAATTTTGGAAAACACTAAACTTTGTGCTGATGCCCTGGTCAGTTTCTCACAGCCAGGAATCTGCAGTAGACCTGAAACAGGGCCCATAGAAGAAAGAATGCCCAGTCCAAGAGTGGGACATTGGAGACAACTCTGTGGAGGGGAGACAGTTAGAACTGGGCATAGAGGAATCTCTTAAGTTTTCATATGGGTAGGGTATCTAGAGCACCCTGAAGAGTACAGTGGAGGTGGTTCCTGGGCAGTGATTGGAGTAGCCCTGTGTTATCTCACTGAAGCGGGGAG